TTCTGCTTTTATGTCATCAATGTTGTCAAAACGTTTTCCTTTCATGGGTTTCTTCAGTTTTGGGAATAGAAAGAAGTCACAGGGGGCCATATCCGGTGAATACGGTGGTTGTAGCATCAATACGGTGTTGTGCTTGGCCAAAAACTCACGAACAAGCATTGAGGCATGAGCAGGTGCATTATCATGGTGCAGTCGCCATGACTGATTTTGCCACAAAATTGGTCGTTTTTGTCAAATTGCTTCACGCAAACGACGTAAAACTCCTAAGTAATATATTTTATTAACCGTTTGACCTTTAGGTAAGAATTGTGCGTTATTGACCTGCGAGGACGTCCAGGGCGCTCGTCATCTTCAACGTCTTCCCGTCCATTTTTAAAACGGTTATACCACTCAAAAACTCTTGCTCGGCTCATAGCCAAATCACCATAAGCAACTTTTAACATTTCAAGAACTTTAGTGCAGTTTATTCCATTCTTATAGCAAAATTTGATACAAATTCTCTGCTCCATTTTTTCCGTAAGTGAAAAATCGAAGAGCACACTAAAACATGTATAACTTCACTGACGGCTGATGGCAGAATAAACATTCAATATGGCTGCCAATGCACATACATGCAAGTGCAGCCAACTAAGAAAAAAAGAGTTTTGCCAATCGGATGAATACTGCCCGGGAAATTTAAAAAGTCTCGTTATTTTTTGATCACCCCTCGTATATTCACAGAATTTAATAGCGTTAATTACTCGCTATTAGAATAGGTACAAGTTTTAAATTTTATTCCTTGATTAGATAATAAGATATTATTTAGTTTTACTTAGGCTTACAATTACATTTATAATCGCACAGTACACTATATTACTTTGTAATACACATTTATTTGACTAGAAAAACAGCTTTACGTTGTTGCTAACAGTATTATATTACGACTATGCATGCAGACGTTTACCATGAGTAGCATGGTTAAATTTAAAGGAATCCTTATTATACAATAATTACGTTTTATTTATTTCACAAAATACAAGACTACAAACATTCGTAGTTTTATCGGTACACTAAAATAATATTATATATGTACCGTACGTTTTTTATAATTGAAGAACATTGTTGAAAGGTGGATGCTTACTATTATTATTTACCTAGAAAATTTATACTTACCGTCATTACTTATCTAAAAAGTTATACGTACCGACAATAGTTACCCAGCTCCGCAATCACCTGAAAAAGGAGAAAACATAAATTAGAATACAATATTCAATACTTACCTTTATTTATACGCGGGATCGTTTACCGATTACCTGAAAAGGAAAACACACTGATTAGAATATAGAATTCGAAACTTATCTTTTATTTATACGCGAGATCGTTTAATTGTTTAAGTTTAATATCATAATTTCGTCATCGAGCGTGCAAACACGTCGTGCCATAGAGAAGAGCACCGGGTGGGGGAGAGCCCCACCACCCTGAGATCCGAGCCAAAGAGAAGAGCACCGGATGGGGCGTGAGCCCCACCGCTGGTAGACACCGTCCATAGACCGAGCCGCCCGAGAGGGGCGAAACAAGGGATAGTCTCACTTGAGTCACCGAACGTTGTGGACGAGCTCGCAAGCTCCGCGCAAACAAGCGTAGATCAGTCGAAAGAAGGCTGCCGCACGGGACGAACGCGTACGCGAACTCCTCAACGCGCGTTAACGTCGTTGTAATAATACAATGTTAGCACTTGTTCGTTTTATAAATAATAAAAATAAAATAAATAAAATAAAATAAGCTTTTATTACTGTTTTAGATTGTTTACCAATGTTATTAAGTATTTATAAATTATTTTAACCGACTTGATGTTGATATAATTTTCTTTTTCTCATTGACGATCGGTGTGTTTCCTATCAACAGCTTGTCCTTCGACAAAGGCCTCCTCTGAAGATTTCCATTTCTCTCTGTTTTTCGCTATCCTGATCCACTCTGGACCAGCTACTCGTTTAAGGTCATCTTCCCAACGTTTCGTTTGTCGCCCTTTGCTTCTTTTGCCATTCCTAGGATACCACTCGATTATTATTTTAGTCCATTTCTCATTTTTCTCTCTTAACATACGAGGGCGGTTCAATAAGTACCCGTGTTAGAAATGAAGATACCATTTTTTCAAAAAATTTTTTTTTATTTTTCAACATACTCCCCTTTTATAAAGATACACTTCTCCCAACGTTCCTGCCATTTTTTTAACCCCTCCAAAAAATAGGATTTGTCGAACTCTCCAAAATACGCCTCTGTCTCGGCGATGACTTCCTCGTTTGAGCTAAATTTTTTTCCCGCGAGCCATTTCTTCATGTTAGGGAACAAGAAAAAGTCGCAAGGAGCCAGATCGGGTGAATACGGGGGGTGCGGCAGCAATTCATAACGCAATTCATGCAGTTTGGCGGCGACAACTCCGGATGAATGTGCTTTCCACCGTGAGCAATCGCGGCACCCATCGGGCCGACAATTTTTTCATCGCCAACTTATCATGTAAAATATTTATTGCCGTTCCGGTCGACACACCTACGGCCTTTGCGCACTTTCGTTCGTCGATCAGCGAGAATCATGTCGTGGACTTTTTGAATGATTCGAGTTCAAGACGCTTCTCAGTGGTTCGTAATGATCTAGCATTAAAAGTAGCTATGTATGTATCCGAGGTACATTTGGTTATCTTTAGAGGGTCGTGGTCTTCTTCCCCCACGAGGACCAGTCGGCTTGGGGGAGGGTGTTTCGTTTCTGTTACTTTGTTGTTTTGTTTCTTATTTGGCTTTTGTTTCTTATCGCCAGTATCTAGTTGCTATTGTTTCTCTGCAGTTGGGCTGGTTGATAAGGAGTTAGACCGAATCCTCATTATATCAAACGCATTTTTTCTATTGCTAGATGACGAGGTTAACGTTTGTTGTTTTCTTGGTTGAACATCTTCTTGCGGGGAGGTGGATGTTTCTCTCTTCCTTTTATCTTTAGCGTTTATGTTTTCCTTGACAACGAGTTTATCATATTTTATGTAAGCGAAATTCCCTTTTTTCCTTTCTTCCATTAACATAGGTTGTAGTGCCTTCCTCTTTTCTAAAATTTCTTTTGAGTAGTCTTCAGTTATATATAACTCCTTAAGTTTCTTTTTGTTTCTTATGATCTCACTCTTTCTCCACTCACTAACTAATGAGAGGAGTGTAGGCCTCGGTTTTTCACCTTTATTTGCTTTTCCTATACGATATATCGTTACGCTCGTGTCTTGATGCCCCCGCTTTTAGCGCCCTGAACATACAGCTGATTTTCTTGGCAACGAGTCGTAAACAACAGATGATCAGCGTTGACGGATAAACAACGGGTTAGAGAGATTCTCTCTGGGGCGGTCGAGTCGTCATGACGTGCGCGATGGTCTTTAACGAAAGAGAGAGCTTGAGCCTGCGAGTTACTTGAGCTTCCTTGTAAATACCAAATATAGTTGAAGTTGTTTTCCTTTTAACGTTGTCTCGTTTTATTTCCCTGCGCGAGCGTAACAATATTTTATTTACTTCCCAATCCTCTAAAGTTAAGTTTAAGAGGAGATATACACCTAGAAGCCGGAAAAAAGATCATTTTTTGTGACTTTTTTCAAGGAAAACTATTTGAAATTTCAGATTGGGGTTTTAATTATCTAAAAGTATATACATTAAAATATATATTTATTTTTTTTTAGTTAAAAATGGCAAAAATTTACAAGGATATTGGATGATACTTGAAGCACTGTAAAAACACAGTACCCACTGGCGTTTCTTCAAAAATCATCTGAAAAGAAAAAACCAAAAAGATTATTAAAATAGATACTATAATCTAGTACTTGTCATAGGCGATTTTGAAAATATCGATTTATGACAAAATGGCGAACGTCTGAACATAAAGGGTGATTTTTGGCCAAAAATTAATTATTACTTTGCCTATAAAACAAAAACTAAGTAACGGAAAAAAAATCCTATGACAAGTACTAGATAATTGTGTATAGAACAACCAAAAAAAACCTCAAGGCAATCGGTTCCTTGGTTTTCGAGAAATTTTGGGTACCGATTTAAAAAACGTGGTTTTGAGAAAAACGCGTTTGAAAATTTAGGAATGAATTAATCATGAAATTTGTCAACTTACATGGAATCATCGATACCAGGCCCATAGTGTAGGTCTTCCTTGGTCAACGGAATGTTCATTTCTTCTAAATTTTGTTGTCGGCGCCGTATTCGACCTTCTTTTGTCTGCTCTTGCGCTTGCAGCTCGGCTTTCGCAATGCGAGTTTCGTCTTCTTCTGCAGCGTACAAGTGTGCTCCTGAACCAACTGATATTCCCAACACGTTCATAATTTCCAATAATGAGGTGACACCATTGTTGAACATGCATGTTGCCAGAAATACAGCAATGTTAACGATTTCAGCCCCGCTGTTCATCGTTTTTGGAACTATCTTCCAAATCAGTTGGTTGAAGCTCTCATTGGAGTTTTGGGTATATCCGCCAACACGCGTTCTAACAATTTGTCATTGCTGAGGTCTTCGTATATTGGTTTAATGACATCTAACACCTCTTTTGGCAATGCAGCATAATCGTGACGGAAATTTTTCAGTTTATTTGTAGCTTTCGCTTTGCTTATTTATCAAAATACTACTTTACCGTTTTTACCTGATATTCTAATGACCTCAAACTTCAAGGAAATGCAAAAAAAAATCGATGTTTTCGACCATCTAGGTGTATATCTCCCCTTAATTCATCCGAAAAATGTTTCTTCACATTTTTAAGTAACTCCCCTGTAGATTTCTACTCCTCCTTCAATCCATGGATTATTATGTTGTTGATTTTCTTGTCCAGATATTCTATCTTCTTTTTCAAGTTTTCTATTTTATGTTTCAATATTTTATTTTTTTCTAAAACAGGTTTTAATTTTTCCTCCATTTTTTCCATTATTGTATTAATTAATTCAATTGTTTGGTTCTGCATTTCAATTTTCATTTTATTAAATAAAAGTTGAAATTCGTTCTTCCATTTATGTGTAGTGGAACGGATTTATTAAATGGGAAAATTTATTTCTTTTTCTGGCAACACTTGTATGACACTGACAGTTGTATGTCCGTAGAATAGAAGTAATTTTATTTGTATCTGACAGTGACATTGACAATTAGTGTGTGACCCGGGCCCTGTCGGTTGGTGGACGTTCGTCCCGCCCCGGCCGGCGGGGTGGTCGTTTCGGTAACACGGGATGTCCGTGTTCAGTAGCGGTGTCTGCCCTGGTGTAGCTCGCCGGATGTCCAGGCGTTCTTATAGGTGCGAGTGTAGGTATAGGAGCGAGTGAGCGAGCGAGTGAGTGAGTGAGCGAATATCTGGCAAAATAAATGTTTATTAAATTATCCTCCGTGGCTGGTTACAAGATAATATTCTGACGGGCCGTGCTCTTAATCTCGGGTTTCACGCAAGTAATATTTGGATGACAATACTGGTGACGGAATCCCGTGTTGACGCGGTGACGTCGGCTCGTTTGATTCGTTTTCCCGGAACTTATCGGGAACAGCTGTGACGCTCGGCCCGTGCAGCTCGCGGTGTTAGCGGTGAGCGGGCGCGGTATTGACATTTTGGCGCGGTCTGTTGATGTTGTCGCGGCGTTTAAATCTGACGGTTTCGCATCGGAGTGCCACGGTGGAATGTACCTGCTAAACTCGGCGTCACGGTACGCGGGTCGCGGTACGCGAGTCGCGGTATGCGGTTCGCGGTGGTTGCCGCACATGGAGTGCTCGCGTCGGTCGACTCCTGGAGCGGAGGGCGCGCGGTATCGCGCCTCCTTACAGGGGCGGTGGAGTCGGCCGGGCGAGCCTGGCCAACGTGCAGCCGGCGGCGGTAGCTTCGCGGTTTCGCGGCGGTCGGTGGTCCCTCCGGTGAGGTGCGGCGGAGAGACACGCGTTGTCTCTAGTTTCGCGGCCCGGTATGAGGAACGGTATTCCGGGGCGCTCGCATGCCCCGGAAGCGCAGAGCCCAATGACTAGAGTGGAGTGGCCGAGGTTGAGAACAGAGACGGAGAACACACCACCCCGACTCGTGCCGATCCCCAGGTCTGCCACGAGCGAGAGGGCCGGAAGCTCCCGGTGGAGACGGCGAACACACTGTCCCGAAATGGAAATTGTTAGGAATTTGGTGCCCGCGACATCCACGGGAGAGACCGCGTACGCACGACCTCGTTCTATCCGGATGACAGGATGTCGATTCGGCTGCGTAATCATAGCAGAGACGGCGTACGCACCGTCGCGGTCCCTCGACCTGGGGATGGGATCCGGAGCAGCTGGTGATCTTGCGATCTCGGCTGACTCCGGTGAAATCTGGCCTCGATACCACGGCGGAGCGGTCTTTTATACCGCGCTTCGCGGTTTTTCCGACACGTGTGTTTGGCAACAACAACAAATGTTGTTGCTTACGTGTGCACGTGTCGATGGTGTGCTTCGCGTGTGGATTGTTTATTGTAACGCTACGCGCCGTTTGACGACCGACGGATGGTCGTTCGGCCGTGGTGTTCGCCGGGAGGGATGCATCGTTACAAGTGTGTCTGTGAGTGACAAGTGATAATTTCTAACCTCAAAATTTCCTCAGTTTTATTTCTTCTGAATCTTCCTTAAATCCACTGAATATACGATGGTTTTTATTATAAACACTTAATTTCTCTTAGTTATTTGTTTGGACGTAACTCAGTTGTGGAAACTGTGGCTGTTATCTAATTATTTGCAATACTTTCTGGAGCACAAGACACTGTGATGTTTACGAAACAAGCACCGGAGCCGGAATCCTCGTTTTATAAATAAAACAGATTAAATAGTACGCGAGTCGTGTTAATTCAATTATTAACCTCGCGAATACTCAGCCTGCGCAACCTGGAGGGCCGCCACCGGGAACTGCAACTTCGGATTACTTCGCACCCCGTGGGCAACGGGGCGACGACAAAGGGGTTTGCTGCTTTTTTCCCGGGACTGAAAGAACAGCTGGCGACCAAAACCCAGGAGGAGAGCGGAGGATCATCAACGTGAGTCTTCAGGATTCCAGGATTTCAGGATTTACCCGCGTTCTCTTTCCGGTTACATAATTTCTTGCCTTCTGCTACCCGTTCACTCGATCCGCGGACACGTAACACGGTCTAGGAAAGCATGCGCGAGTGAGAGTGCAAAAGGTGATCGCGTGTACGACGTGAGATATTCGATTCACACTCGCGTCCACCAACCGAGCCCGTAGAAGGCGTATCACAGCGACGAGGCAGTGGAAAATTGGCAACCCGTCGCGTATTAGCATAATGTAGCGTAAATCGTAAGAGAAGGTCCTTGAGAGTTAAAATGGCTCTCAAAAGATAAAACTGGCGACCGTGACAGGAAGGACCGGTGTCGACGGTTGCCACGTGGTTATCTCCGGGTGCGAAAGTTTAGTGCGGTGTACCTGAAAATAAAAAGCGCATTTGCGTCTTGCGATTCAAGGCTATCCGCGTCGTCGCATTAGAAACAACGCGAGATTCCGCGCGCGATAGCGTTATTTCTCGTAGAAGACGCAGGGAACGTCAACGCGTTCCCGTACGTGCGTCGCGCGACTCAAGGCTATCTATGTCGCCGCGTTATAAACAACGTGAGATTCCACGCGCAGTAAGATTATTCCTTGTAGAAGACGCTGGGGACGTCATCGCGTTCCCGTACGTACGTCGAGCGTTTCAAGGCTATCTGCGTCGTCGCGTTATAAACCACGCGAGATTCCGCGCGTGATAGCATTATCTCTTGAAGAAGTTGCCGGGGCGTCATCGCGTACCCGGACGCTCGTCGCGCAGTAGCGCTTCGAGTACAAAGCTATCAGCGTCGGTGCGTCATAAAGACGCCTGATTTCGCACGCGGTAGTAGCATTTCTTGCGGGACAAGTCGGGACATAATCGCGTTCCTGGCCGAGCGGTACGCGTAGTAGACGTGGGGAAGGTTAGAGCCGGCATGAACGTGTTCGCCACCTCGTTTCCGTGAAATCGTGATCGCCGGTGAGCCGTTAGAGCGCCGACAACACCGCAATAAATTTCTTGGAACCGAAGCCAAGGCCGAGCAAAAACGACTTCTCGGAATCGAAGCCGAGGCCAAGCTCAACAACTTCTCAGAATTTTCGCAGCCGCGACAACGGCTGCGTACTCTTCGACGAGCGTCGTTATAAATAATAAAATAACAATTCGATTCGGATTTGTTGCTAAAAATTCACGACTTTATTTCCGGACCGCGCGAAAGAACACCCGCGTTTGAGAGTCTAGTGAAGGATCTCGGACAACGGTAACGCGTAAAATTGTTGTTAACAAACGTGAAGTACGAAACCGCGTAATATTGTTATAAACAAATTACGAAATTACGTTCGCGGAAAACGCGAACCATAGTAAAGAGTGCAGTAGCATAAAAAACGCAGAAAGAACGCTAGTTCAACGCTGCGTTCAAGTTTTCATTAACAAATTATTATATTGTTATAAACAATTCACGAAAATTAATATCCGCGGAAAAAGTGGACAATAATGACGTGCGAAATAACATAACAAACGCGGAGAGAACGCCAGCGCAACGCTGTATTCAATTATTCATTAATAAATTACCTTATTGTTAAAAACAAACTACGATAATTTACATCCCCGAAAACGCGGAACATAGTGACACGCGTAGTAACGTAGCAAACGCAGAAATAACGCCAGCGCAACGCTGCGTTCAATTTTCCATTAAAAAATTGATAAATTGCGATAAACAAATTGCAAATTAAACCCAAATCACTGACGTCGCGTTTTGGATTAAATAACGCGTGATTATTCGGTTAATAAACAAGGCCGACGCGTAAAAACATGACCGCGCCTTATTGCAAATCGCTACTGTTTAAACAATTGCGTCCCTTGGACTCTGTCCATCGAAATAACCGAAACCATAGCGAACCGTATTATTGTAAAACAAATACAGGAAATAAAGTCGCGTCAAATTGTTATTAACAATTCATTGTTAAACAAAAACAAGGATGTTCGGTGATCCGAAGCGTAAAAACCGAACCATAGCGACGTGCGTAGTTGCTAAATACTCGCGATCAGAGCGTCAGCGCCACGCGTCGATGGTAAACAAATTATCGTTGTTATTATTTACCTTATTGCGAGTCACCAACATTTTTCTTCATTCATTTATTCGAAATTCAACAAGGAATCGAAATATCTAAACATTATTGTCGTAACTGATTGAGAAGTACATGTAATCTCTAATCGTTTATGATCGCCTCCGCTGCGGCGCGGCGCGTCGATGGTAAACAAATGATCGTTGTTAATTATTTACCTATTGCGAGTTACCAACATTTTTCTTCACTCATTTATTCGAAATTTAATAAGGAATCGAAATATCTAAACATTATTGTCGTAACTGATTGAGAAGTACATGTAATCTCCAATCGTTTATGATCGCCTCCGCTGCGGCGCCGCGCGTCGATGGTAAACAAATGATCGTTGTTATTATTTACCTTATTGCGAGTCACCAACATTTTTCTTCACTCATTTATTCGAAATTTAATAAGGAATCGAAATATCTAAACATTATTGTCGTAACTGATTGAGAAGTACATGTAATCTCCAATCGTTTATGATCGCCTCCGCTGCGGCGCCGCGCGTCGATGGTAAACAAATGATCGTTGTTATTATTTACCTTATTGCGAGTCACCAACATTTTTCTTCACTCATTTATTCGAAATTTAATAAGGAATCGAAATATCTAAACATTATTGTCGTAACTGATTGAGAAGTACATGTAATCTCCAATCGTTTATGATCGCATCCGCTGCGGCGCCGCGCGTCGATGGTAAACAAATGATCGTTGTTATTATTTACCTTATTGCGAGTCACCAACATTTTTCTTCACTCATTTATTCGAAATTTAATAAGGAATCGAAATATCTAAACATTATTGTCGTAACTGATTGAGAAGTACATGTAATCTCCAATCGTTTATGATCGCATCCGCTGCGGCGCCGCGCGTCGATGGTAAACAAATGATCGTTGTTATTATTTACCTTATTGCGAGTCACCAACATTTTTCTTCACTCATTTATTCGAAATTTAATAAGGAATCGAAATATCTAAACATTATTGTGGTAACTGATTGAGAAGTACATGCAATCTCTAATCGTTTATGATCGCCTCCGCTGCGGCGCGGCGCGTAGAGG